TATATATAAATATATAAACTATGTTACATGCGTTATATGCGTCTCTAATTATTTTTCCCTAGCAAATTTCAATTGAACCTAAAGCCGCCACGTCAGTTTAATTGATATGCTAATTGATTGACAACTAAGCAAAGTTACTTTTTAATTAATACAAACTTGAGGTTACATCTTTTCAAATGTTTCTCAATTAATATATAGGAGATTAGATTTTGATCCGTTCTTTTTGCGCATAATTTTTTATGATTAAAAATTTATATAATTGGAACTTTTTATTTAAAATATGTTTGGGTATAAAATCAGTAATCCAAAATGTGTAGTGATGATTGTTTTGCATAAATTTTTAGTTTCGGTTTTTATTTTTAGATTTTTTTTTTTTTAAGTTTCTGTTTTTGATTTTCAGCTTTTGGTTTGAATTTTTAGTTTTAGATCCGCTGAGTTAGTTTGAACTGATATTACCAACAAAAAAATCCCAAATAATCGAACATCTAATTTAAAACTAAAAAGATGACAATTTTTTTTTTTTTTAAATTTCAATAGTTTATTTTGTAAATAAACAAAAGCAAAAATATAACCTGCATTTTCAGCAATATATTTTTCTTTTTAGTTGACAGCTTTCAGTTATTTTGTAAATAAACAAAAGCAAAAATATAACCTGAATATAAATTACGTTGTGCGTGGGGTCCCCTATTACCTAAAGAATCCACACACACGCTAACATCATACATTCTGTTTCTTTTTAGTTGTCATTCTAGGTTTTTACACATAAACTAAAGAAATATTTAATTTTACATATTTTCAAGATAAAACACAATTATATGTACATTTAACCACTTTTCAATCAATAAAAAGATAAAATCTTTATAAATAAAGTTGAGTTATCTACCTTTTTAGACGTCCACGTCACTCTATAGAGTAGGGTTTTTTCGCCACGTGTAGCACCGCAGAGGTAGCTATGTGTGTCACTCATTTCATTTTCTTCCTTACATTACTCTTTATTTAACGCGTGAATTTCATTTAATAAAGTTTCCTCCGTTTGGGCTACGTTTAAGCTTGATAAATAAACCCATGTAAGCCCACCTGGTCATGGTTGTTTGGTGGCCCACGGAATTTTAGAGAATGTTAGAGAACATCACGGCGTTTCTCATCTCATTTTTGATAATCCGTTTGCGTCTAAAATTATATATCAAAACGTCATCACAAAAGATATCCAAATTACCATTATTATTTTATTAAAAAACCGTTAACAAAAAAAAATTATATTAAAAATCTATTCTTTTGATAGAAAAAGTATTAAATTACATCTCAAAATCTCTAATAAAATTCAAGTTTAAACATCTGTGCAAGATCAAACAACATGTTTCACAAACTTTTTACATAACACCAGAAGGTAAGAAGGTAGACGAAGAACGAGCTGTCCACCCATTAAACTGTTCCCAAGATCATATATAAAGTTCAAAATCTTTAGATAATCAAAACTATTCAATAAAAATGTGTATTTTAAAAGGAAAGTTTTACCTCTAAACATAGTAACAGGAGAAAACGTTTTCAAAGAATAATTTTTCTTAGTTTTAAAAATTTTGACTAATATAGTGTACAAGCTCCAGATAAGAGAACTTCCTCCTACCACAAATAGCATACTTTGGTTTAAAACTCGGTTCCATAGTTCAATCTAAAACCAATGAGGCTGGAAGCTTCTACAACAAAGTTAACCGCTCAAATTTTTCCTTAGGAACCGATATATATGAACATTAACAATTTCCTTAGGAACCGATATACATTAACATTAACAATACAAACAAAAATTCTATTTATACAGCAATAATAATATATTACACATTAAAATAAATTAGACCCAAATAAGATTTACAAACAAAATTTCTGTACACTAAAATCTGAAAAATAAGAGAATTGCTTGACAAAATTTCTGTACACTAATATTCATGTTACTTATCGTAATAAAAACACATAAACATCTGGTAAACTTTCCCACAAAGAAAATTGGTCTCAACCACGATGCACACAAGTAACTACTACATAGAAAAATACAAGATTTTCAAGTTTGAATAAAAATAAACATTCAAACCTGGCGCGTAGCGTAGGAATACCTCTAGTATTACATAAAACTAATAAATTATATCTCGAAACTCTAAAATGATATTTAATTTGTGACAAAGAATTAAGCTTAGAATGACAAATATTCTGAAATTGATGGAATATAAAACAACATGAATAATATCTCCGCCAAGTGTGGACAGAGGTCACTAGTAAATTTAACAACTATAACATGCGTTACATTAGTTTAAAATAACACTAAGGGTTTATAGTGATTAAAACCTCTAACTATTTTTAAATCGGATAAAAAACCTTCAACTAAAATTTTATGTTTTTAAACCTCCAACTATTAAACCGTTAATGTCGTTAACCTTCCGTTATCAAAATCGTTTTTTCTTAACGGAGACCCGTTAAATCGAAACACCGCGTTTCATGTAATTTCAAAAACGACATAAGGTTCTTACTATCAATATATATTTTAGGGATTTAAACCTCCAACTATTTTTAAATCGGATAGAAAACCCCCAACATAAAATTTTAAATTTTTAAACCCTCAACTATTAAATCTTTATTGCTTTTAACCCTCTGTAAACAAAGTCATATTTTCTGAATGAGAAACCGTTAAATTGAAACACAGAGTTTCATGTTCATATAAACGATATAAAATGTTTAAACTTTAAACCCCCTATATCAATGGAAAATGACAATTACAATTCATCCTTAAATAAAAAAAATTAAATTTCTTTTTCCTTTTCATCGAAGGTGAGGTAAGTCCAAAAATTCTATTGTTTCTAATTTTAGGCTATGATTGTATGGCACTTCTGACGATATATTTTAAGTGTAAAACATATTTACTTTGACTCCAGCTAATATTTAGCCAATCAGGTGAAAAAATTTCAACTTGCGTTTTCGCTAGTTACTGTTGAAACATAATAAATTGTTTCATTTNCATAAGAAAATAAAAAGTGGAAAACAATACAAAATCCAGCGCAACACATATTTCTCTGCATAAACCAAGAGAGAAAAATGAAACAATTTATTATGTTTCAACAGTAACTAGCGAAAACGCAAGTTGAAATTTTTTCACCTGATTGGCTAAATATTAGCTGGAGTCAAAGTAAATATGTTTTACACTTAAAATATATCGTTAGAAGTGCCATACAATCATAGCCTAAAATTAGAAACAATAGAATTTTTGGACTTACCTCACCTTCGATGAAAAGGAAAAAGAAATTTAATTTTTTTTTATTTAAGGATGAATTGTAATTGTCATTTTCCATTGATATAGGGGGTTTAAAGTTTAAACATTTTATATCGTTTATATGAACATGAAACTCTGTGTTTCAATTTAACGGTTTCTCATTCAGAAAATATGACTTTGTTTACAGAGGGTTAAAAGCAATAAAGATTTAATAGTTGAGGGTTTAAAAATATAAAATTTTATGTTGGGGGTTTTCTATCCGATTTAAAAATAGTTGGAGGTTTAAATCCCTAAAATATATATTGATAGTAAGAACCTTATGTCGTTTTTGAAATTAGATGAAACGCGGTGTTTCGATTTAACGGGTCTCCGTTAAGAAAAAACGATTTTGATAACGGAAGGTTAACGACATTAACGGTTTAATAGTTGGAGGTTTAAAAATATAAAATTTTAGTTGAAGGTTTTTTATCCGATTTAAAAATAATTAGAGGTTTTAATCACTATAAACCCTAACACTAAACAACTAAACACATAACTCATGCATTACATGGGCAACAATTTATAGTTGATATGTTTGAAATGGTTACTTTTGAGGGGTTTCAAAAATATAGGCTCCAAGGAAGGTTTTTACTTTATTCGACGTTTGTGCATCGTTCTTCTGCGTAAACCGTAATATCCATTGAAAGGGAAGATGATTCTTGAAGAGGCAAGGAAGGAATTTGCAAAACAGGCCTAGGAGGGACTTCAAGAGCCTCCAGATTTCCTTCCATCATTTCTACCACTTTGTTCATTGGTGGGCGATTTGATGGGGAAGTCTGAATACACCACAAACCCACTAGTGTCATCTTCTTTACTATCTCTTCTTCTTCGATGCTGATTCCATTCTCAACGAGCTTTCCACTAATTCCCTTCTCAAGATCCTTATATATCCATTCAGGAAAGTACATTGAGCTTGTGTTTGATGAAGAATCTTGGTCAAATCTTTCTTTCTTTCTTGCCCCAATCATTTCGAGGACCAACATTCCATAGCTATACACATCAGACTTGTGGGATACTCTACCATACATTCTTGAAAGAAATTCTGGTGCAATGTATCCTATCGTTCCTCTTGCATCTAGTACTGACGAGAAGCTTTCTTTGTTCTCGCAGAGCTTAGCAAGGCCAAAGTCTGAAACTTTCGGGCAGAAATTATCATCTAGTAGTACATTTTGTGGTTTTATGTCAAAATGTACAATCCTTGCTTTGCAACCATGGTGCAAGTACTCTATACCTCGAGCAGTTCCTAGAGCAATATTGTATAATTTCGTCCAGTCCAAAGTGATTGAAGTTTTTTGCGAGATGAACCTATCTAGAGATCCGTTTTCCAGAAATTCATACAAAACTGCTCTCTTGGAACCTTCATAGCAGAATCCAAGCAGGTTAACTATGTTAACATGCGAAGTTTTGCTCATGCTGGCAACTTCATTCATGAAATCTTCACCATTAGCCTTTGAGTCTTTCAAGAGCTTCACAGCAACACTACGTCCATCACAGAGAGTTCCTTTATATACGGTTCCAAACCCACCTTTTCCTACTACTTCCACAAATGAATTTGTAATTTTCTTTAATTGCGCATAGCTATATCGTTTTAGTGGAATAAGGGCCTCTAGATATTGTTGTCTACGACCATCCAATGTCTTTTTTCTCCAGCTAATAAAACATATCAAACCTCCGGCAATCACCAGTCCAACCAATATAGAAGCAATCCCGATTCCTAGAGACAAACACACAAACATGGTCTTCAAACTAAAATTTGTCGCTTTATGATGTATAATAATCCAAATAAGTTGGTTGAAAGAAAAGAAAAACTGCGATCACCTATTTTGGCTTTGTCAGAGAGGCCTACATCAATGAAATTGAATAAGAAAAAAAATCTGTTAGAACTAAATGGTTATCAGAAACTAAATGGAGTTCTCTGGTGATCCAAAATATTCAAGTACGTGAACGAGAGTTTGATGAAGGGAAGCAGTGGTTCTTTAGGAATAATATTATGAAAGTACGCAAGAAAGGAAAAATAAAATAATAAAAAATCTTACCCTTGTTTCTGTAACCGCAATAACGGTTGTGACGCCCATCGAGACAATAGCAGATGAATGCTTTTGTTATCTGATTATATCCACAGGCACCCCCTGATTTTATGCACTTATGACAATCTGAATTAATTCCAAGCTCGAACCCCCCTTGAAGAGCTTTCTTTAAATTGTCTTGAGTCCGATTATTCTGTAATGTGATCAGTGCAGGTCCGGATGCGGGAATACTGACCTTTTTACGGCAAGTTACTTCAAAATTATTTAAAAGGCCACTGATACCTGCAAGTAAAGGGGACGAGAGGTTTCTTGTCACATAGTAACCTCTTATGTCATCCTCGCATACAAACTCTCCAACATAGGCAGAAACAAACTGTGGTGTGGCTGGGCAGTCATAATAAACTGTTAGAATCTCAGTGTTAGGAGCAAGTGAAAACACGCTTTGGTTAAAGGGGGCATTTACTAGGATTTGGGGACAAATATTGCTCATAAAATCCGATCTAGCAATTCTTATGATTCGAGAATTATTGGTCACATCCAAGACTCTGAATTTCACGGAGGAGATGTTTAGCTCTGCAAACCCTCCACTACAGTCTAGCTCGAAGCCTGGGTGGCCACAATCTTCTCTGCCAGATATCCAGAAAGGGTACAAAAGATCGCTCTGATCACCGCAACTAAACGGGGAACTACAGCGTATGTAAAGCTTATCAGCTGAAAGGAAACATAAGACGGGATCATAAAGAGCATCCATACAATTTTATTGGACATATATGACTTGTTGCGAATAGAAATATGGTTATTGTATTGGTCCTATTGGACACCAAAATCTATTTTATCATAACAGAAACATTATGTTGGATCTAATCTTTATTTTATAAAAAAATTAAGAAAATATATTTTTTATAGTTAAACTTATATTAAATCATTAATATTAATTTTTATATTACTATCCATATTTTTAAATAATATTATACTTTCTTTATACTACTATCAATGTTTCCAAACAATATTATAATTAATTTTGTGTCCAAACAATACAAAATATTAGTTCTTATTTTTTTTTGATAATTTCTAACAATTTTGTTTCAAGTTATTTAGATCCATTAAAGAATTTTAAAAATCAAATAATTTATAAAACAACAAAAGATAAATAAAACTTATATTTACAGGCTTAAATATTACATATCGGTTATCCATCGGTTAATTCGGTTAGTTTCGAGTTATTGTGATTTTTTTAAATATGAATATTTAAAAAAAACTAAATTGAATTATCAGATAACTGAATTAACCATTTTAACCGCGGATTCGGATCTAGTTTAAACACTGGTTTAAATGCAAAAATATTTTAAATACTCAATTCTTGCAAATTAACAAAGTATTTGCTACTTATTAATGAATTTGTTTATTAAAAAATATTATTCGCTTATAAAGTATCGATCAAAATCTAATAAAAATAAAATAAAAACAATCAAAGAGACGAGAGTAATGTGTTTGGACAACTGGACTATGTCTTCGTCTTCTAAGTGTTGAAGACTAAATAAACTTACGTGTAAGGCTCCAAATGTTCAAGACCATCTTCAATGATGTAAGTTTTTGAAGGAACACATCAAAATTTGAGGGAAAACATTTTTTAATTGTATATTATTTTGAAGAAAAAAATGAAAATATGAATAGTATCTTTCATATTTGGGATAATAGTATTCATAACATCATTTTTATTATTAAATTTTTTATTTACAAATTAATTCTTAAATTTTTATATATTTTTACTTTATATCTAAAAGATTAAGTATTTGGGTTTTAGATTTTTTTAAAAATTAATAATATTTACATTAATACAATCATAAATTCGTATAATTCATTGTTTATTCATTTAGAAACTAAATTTATGAACAAAATAAAAATTTAATCAAATTAAATAACTTTCCCTCAAAATAAAAAAAAAAAACTGAGGGAAAAGTAGGAATATGAATAGTATCCCCTCAAATTTGAGAGAATACTATTCATAACCTCATTTTTACTATTAAATCTTTTGTTTAAAATTAATCCTTAAATTTTTATATAGTTTTACTTTATATCTAAAAGATTAAATATTAGCGTTTTATACTTTTTTGAAATTTTCATTAATATAATTATAAGTTCATATAAATCATTATCTATTCTTTCAGAAACTAAATTTATGTACAAAATAAAAATTATAGTTGGGTAAAATTTGTAAGTTTTTAAAATACATACTATTATTAAAAATAATAATAAGATTACAAACCGAATATACTTGGAATATTTTATTTTGAAGAGAAAAATGTGAGCAACCATTAGAGTAAAATTCAAACTTAGTTTGAATTTACATCATTTTAAGGGAAAAATAATGTGAACCATTGACGATATCCTAGTGGGTTTCCTAAATCTAATCACTAAGTATGTGGATTCTATTCCGTGCGACAGGTGGTAGGTTAATTTTTTGAAGTCTACATAATTATAATTATTTACTGATCTTACAATCATCACATAACCTTTCTCCATGCTTTTCTGTCATATACACAATACCACGAATGATTTTCTGGTAGGTTACACAACTTCCACTACTCCGACATAATCACGCTTGGCCATGGAGTTGTAAAAGAATAGGTGAGCAAAAATGTAAATTCACTTTGATGATATAGTCAGTCAAATCAATTATTTTAAACCTTCCATATATCACAAACTCAGATGTAACCATTCACCCGCTCTCACAAAACATAACCTTCTCATTTCGCCCCAAGATAGTTATCCATATTAGTGTGAGCAAACACATGTCTCCACACTCGTCTGACTTCAGCTCTAAAATCACTTGTAAGATCTTATCCATGACTAATGGGTCTTCCACGCCAGTTCACTTAGCATATGGGTCTTATTCCTTTCGACGGGCGGTACATTAATTTTTTGAACTCAGAAGTCTTGTTTACTTGACCCTGAAATCATCACATGAGCTTTTGCCTTGTTTTCACCACACTCGCACGATATTGCAAATCACTTCTCGATAAATCACATATCTTTCCACTATCCCAGATCAAACACACTTCACTTTGGAATATTTTCTAAATGTGGGACCGAAGAAATAAATGATAACATAAATAGCCAAATTAAGTTTTTCAAAAAATTTCATATATTACAAAATTTTCATACCTAACATATTTTAAAATTTTATCTTGTACGAACTTGAAAACGAAACTCAAAATTTCTCTTATTAAAAAGGGAGGTACAAGTTGCAGAACCCAGCCTTAATAGTTTATGGCAAGCCCTCATAACCAAGTATCACGAAACTTCAAGCATTTGTTTAAAAGTTAAATTCTCCTCAAAATTGTTATTGTCTTATATGGCAATTAATCTATGTTCATGTAGCTGTAACAAGAAATTTGAACCATCATCATATGAGATGCGATTATATTTGTCCAAGATGTGGGAAATTGGAAGAGTATGTGAATTATGTTATCTTTGAGTGCTCTCCAGCAAACCAAGCTTGCGTGTGCTCTAGAACCACATCATCGCATTCGAATTTTTTCCTAGTTTCTAGTATTTTCACTAATATGGACTACTTATTTTGACGGAAGAATGGTATTGAGAATCCAAAGATGTATAGAGACACTTATTCATAGATAATTTGATATCTATAAAAAGAAAGTATAAATTATTTAAAGAAATTGATATAGATATGCAGAAGGAAAATGTCAAACATGGTTCACGGCTAATGAGGCACCAACTACTTTGATCCAAACTCCAGCTCAAGTCGTACACTATGATAATATTTGTTTCGTAAATGGTTCTTGGACTTCTACATCGGTCTTTCATTTGGAGTGGCTGGACATGGCAAGATAACTCTTGACAGGCTCAAGTTATGGGCACAAAAAAATCGAAGACGAAGAGAAACTGCTTTGCATACTGAGTTGGAAACTTTTCAATGGACAATGGAGAATATGTTACATTATTTAACTTATTAATATTTTGGGATGGACGGCATACATTTGAGTATTGTTATATATGAAGGATGAAGTGTAATATACACTTCAAAGAATAGAAAGGAAATTTTGCTAGTATGAAATTTTTTTATATGTTTTTTTGTTATATCTAAATGATCATTTTTTTACTTAAGTTGAAAGTGATTTAGGCAACCACAGAGACGTATCCACTAAAGAAAATATGTAGACGTCTATCTAAACAATAAAAAATCTTCAAACATGGACTTAACACAAAAATGTTGTATTAATTTTTTTTAATGACTAAAACTATTGTATTATTACTTTTTCTTTTTTTTGGGACAAAAACTTTTTTTTAGTGACTTTCTGAAAAGCCAGTTTTTATTTTTCTAAAGAATCTCCAACAGGGACAATAAATTTAGTGTTGAAATTACACCAAATTAGATATTTTTATGTTATACATTTTTGTCTCCAAAAATAACATTATATTTTACACTAGATAGTATTATTTAATTTTAATATTTTTTATATATTTTATCATTTTAATTGATAAATAATTCTTTTATCACACTTAGATGCTATGTTTGTTAAACTTTTGTAGTATTAATATCTATATTTTATAAAAAATATAAATTAGAAATTCATACTATATAAAAAGTAAATCTATGATATTTTATATTGATGTAAATGGTAATACTCATTAAGTAATTTATTTATTGAAAATTAAAATAAATTTAAAAGTAATTTAAAAATACAAATAATACAGTATATTTATGTTAGTTAATTATATATTTAGCTAATTAAAAATAATTTTTGAACTAGATTATTAAATTAAATATAATAAAATAGACATCAAAACACTAAATTTAATATAAGATTCGTTACATAAAAACAAATTTGGTGGAATGTGTCAATTTTAGTGTTTTGTAAAGATAAAAAGTGATGTGCAATATATAATTGATTTATGTTTCTCAGTCAACAAAGATCATTACGAACCTGATCGGCAACCACCGCTAACGGTGAAGGCATCGCCGTAAAATCCATCGAGGCAAGTGCACCGATGACCCAACTGGCCGTCGAGGAGCTTGACTTCCGTACAGTCCGCGTTTTCGGAGCAAGTCGTATTACTGCAACCGTCTTTAAGCCACCAATCAAGGCTGAGTCCAGATGACAACTCCATGCTGTTATTTCTCGACACAGATACCGATGAAAGCCAATACTTACATCCACTCCCGTTAACATCTTCAGTACTCATTACATCGGCCGTTTTCTCTACTCCGCCGAAACATCTCACAGGAGAGGTACATCTGCTGGAATTCCTAATTATTTCAAAGAATCTGGGGTCAATTGAACAGCTAAGTGACGATTCGTTACATCCACTGAGGAGAATCACGTTCTGCGAATTAGAAGGAGCGAAATTATCCCGGAAGAGCTGTTTGAGTTTGCTGGTCTCACGTGTGCATATCGCCGGGATTTCCACACTGATTTTCGCGCTCGTCACTTCATCTACAGCAAATTCTCCTATTTCCGCAAAGCCATTCTTCGAGCAGTTTAATCGAATCGGATAACCATCGGAGAAACCGAACGGGTAGCGAAGCAACCCGGTTTGGCAACTTATCGAGCCGGTGGTTAGTGTAGCGACGGCGAGAGTGAAGAAAACGAAGACGAGAAACAGAGTGTTTGGCTGGCAAGTTTCTCCCATCGGTAGAAAAAAAATTTGTTTCGCAAAGATAGTAATTAATCGAATGATTATCCCCCGAAGCTGGTCCAAACAGACCCGTTCCTTGCTTGAAATATG